AGACTATCTACAATGCAAAACAATGGATTTGCAGCCATTTGTCTGAGATATCAGCATATTCCCATTTAAATTGCATACATCACATAAAAAGAAATATATGAGCCTGTTAGTGACACGTCTGCCAACAAGACATCTGTTGGCAAGAAGCATAGATGTCAAACAAACAGACCAACACAAAGTTACATTGAACTATATTTAAATGAGGGCACCTGTATGATTTATGTTAACGCCAATAACCTCTTTAGCTTGCACCAAGGCCTTTAGGGTATTCTGGAACAATGGATGTAGCCTGTCTTTGTAACCAATACAAGCTAGCAGGACAATACTGCTGACAGCCTACCCTCACTGCACAACATGCAAAGTACACTAACTTACAACAACCAAACACCATTCCCCTTTCAATTACTTGAGTGTAGTTACATTTTATCTAAATCCAGCCACTAAAATCTTCTATAAGCCTTAACATGAAGCAAAGATGCTTCAGGCGATAAAAATATGAAAACAAAAATAGAAAATAAGTATTCTATTTTAAAAAATGTCACTTGTTTATGATGCACAAGGCTGTAGCAAGCTGAACATCATTTAGTTATGGTTTACAGGTACTTCAACTAAAATCTGCCGATTAAGTCCATTTTGCTCATTATCAGTGCACATAGGAGTCTCTTTAAAGACAGCAATGATGCTTTCTTCTATTTTTGAAAACAAGCTTTAAAGTGCACCGGTGCCCACATTATGGTAATTCAAGTTTTTACAAATTCTTAACACGTAGTAAATGTTTTGAACAAGCCATCCCTGAACTCTAGCTACATGTACTGTGAAATAGTTCATCCTCAAAGACCACAATAAAGAGTCTAAAGTCAGTTTGAGCCAATTGTTTTAACAACTTACAGCATCTACTATGTGTTTACATAAGAGGACTGGCAGATTGCCAAAATTCTGCATTCATAGAAAATAAAGGGGGAAATCTGAAAAAAAAAACATTTTTTCCAAAATGCCTATAGCTACAAAGCTGAATGAGAGCTTGTATTTAAATGCTTTTACTGCTAGTTCAGAACATGCAAATACTGCAATGTGCATAGTCTGAGCACATGTTCACTTTATGGTATACGTCTTTAGCAATGCAGCTGATTTAAACAACACCAACAAAAACTAAATAGTATGGAGGTAAAAAACAAACAAAAGTGCGCATTGCAAAGCAGCTAAAACATGTTGGAAAATAGATAGATAAATAGAGAGATAGATAAATATATATAGAGAGAGAGATATGAACCTTTCAATCACTCTCTAGGTGAATGTATATACATTTAAAATCCAACATATACAGTATATCTGCATTTCTATGTTACATGTACTGTTTACAGATTATTGGTACAATTATTCTGGATGAATATATCAGTCACAGAGATGTATCTGAGCATACAATACAGAGGAAAGATGACCCATGTAACCAACAGCATGTAGATTTGTTTCTATGTATTACTGCCCAGCAGTCAGACCATTATCATGACAGAGACCAGGTTGCTTTCAGCTACGGTGTCTTGCATAGATAATAGATGAGACCATTATTTTGCCAAAGCACTTGTAGAATTCAGTGTCAAACTGCAATGTGAAAAGTGCTCTGATTCAAACCAGCTAATCAAAAAACAGCTTTTATCACCATGAAAGCTGACTGGCCGCTATTAGTTTTCGCTCTTTACCTCTTACTTTTAACTCTTTTAAACTTTCCACCAAAGACCTTAGAAGATTGAGTGAAAGATGCATGTGAGTCTTACAAGCCCTAGGCACTTTCTCTTTGATCAGACTCTTGCTGCTTACAGCATATTCTACCTGAAGATGAAATATGTTACCGTGTCTAGCGCAAGCCTGTTATACTTGTTTAACTAAACCACCAGTCACCATCCCCTGCGAGTTCGCTGACAGAAAGTAGGAGAATTGTCTGTACAGAAAAATTTAACTAGGCAATTAACAGGCAAAATGAAGCTTATATAACTGTATATGGAGCAGCAGGATGATTTATGCTCAATGTTGTTAGACGTAAATGAAAACAGAAAAAGTGGAGGTAAAATGACACAATTTATTGGCTCAACCCGACAGATTTAAAATGCATACATTCAAACATCCACATTTCCTTATCAGGTATGATTATTAATGTTCCTACATCTTTTAACAGTTGAACTTAGGTTTTATTATCATAGTTTAATTATTGTTATAGTTTATATAAGCTGGCTTGTCCTTAAAAATCAGACAAAATAAAAAAGCTGCTTCTGCTGCAATACTCTTACTTATCTTCAGAACCACTCCCCCCCCCATGTAGACTTACTGCTCCAAGGTACAGCGCCACTCATCTTCTGGGTTGAATGGCGGCTATCAACATCCAACCCGCTTTTTGCAGGCCCAGGCTGTCACTGCAACATCTTCTGGGGGGGTACATCATTCTACAGCACTCCTGCATGGACAATTGTTTTGTGAGTGCTGCTCAGTCTAAGAGGTGAGTATGCCCAACACCATCACTGAGGAAGAAGAGACAGATCTGTGATGGTAATGGACTGTCCTGAAAACTGCAGGTTTTATGGTATGTATAAGGGCATTTTTATATAAAAAAGTAATGGTGGCAAGGTGGAGTTATAAAAAAAAGTGCTGTGCTAAAACTTTGCATTTGAATTATAAATGAGGGGGTCCATAAATATCAATAACAAAGGCGACTAGATATCTTCTAATCACTGGGTTAATTGTTGTACCCTGCTCCGCTTTTCCCTCTAATGTCAGGGATATTAAAGCATGCATTATACTCAGTGACCGGATTACTCCCTTTTTTCTGGGTAAAAGGGAATGATCACTGCTCAGCAGATGATGCTTCAAAATCTATAAGCATCAATGGGCATTTACAGCTGCAAATATATAAGTTTATAATGATAATTTTATTTGTCTGAATGTTGCGAGAGATACTCAGATTGGTCTTTTAAAAATGAGGCTTGCATGAGTGTCCTTAGGCAATGAACTTTTTTTAAGGGGAAGTATAGTGTATTTTCAGTGAGGAAATATTATGAACTATTGCTGCAGTTGGATAATTTGTGACATGACATGTTGCTTTTTTTGCATACCTGATCTTTCATCAATTTGTAGATTAGCCACTAGAGGAGGGTATTGAGGTGAGTGGAAATCACTCATCTCATAGTTCTCCTTTAACACTACCTATCAGCTTCTAAGACAAAATGGCTACACAGGGAGTGCATTGTTTTCAATGTGTTAGTGGCCTCACAGACATGCATATTGAGAAGAGGCAGTAAAGCAGCCCCATAGTGTAGAACTGCAAAGCAGGATGCATGCACAAGGGCCTGATGACAGCCCTTTGTACAGGCTCAATGCTTATGTCTTTAGTGAGTCATTTAAGCTGAAGCTGACATACAAAAGTGCAAATATTCAAATATCTTTAAGAGACAAAAAAGGGTTCTCCTAAAGTGAAAGAGAAATGTGTAAACTTTGAGGAAGGTGTCAATGTTGCCCATCATTACCAATCAACTTTCGTTTGGCCTTTTTTTTAAAAACACAGTTGCAACCATAATGAATGATATAGGCAACACTAACCATTCTTCAGCTGTTGTGATGAAAATTGGTTATTCAGACCATTTTATGAATGCAGTAATTGATATCAACATACCCTACTATAAACCATAATAACATTACAATGATAAGTGGTTAAAGTTTATAATATTAACATTTAACTCCACTTTTGCTGAAAAAAAATCATCCCTTTATCAGCTACATTCATTGAAAGGATTTCAGCTTCATTGCACAGTCCTACCTCCTGCCATCCATACTGCAATTCACATATTGGGGTTTATTTACTAAAGGCAAATAGGCTGCTCACTTTGCAAAATGATTTGCACTTTGCAGGGGATGTTTCCCTTAGCTTAGTGTATGTGGAGAACTTTCACCCAATCATGTTCAAGGAAAATAAAAAAAACAGTATTTTTGCTTGCACACAATTGGATGATGACACTCAGCAGAGCTTTACCTCATTTACTTGGGCAGCACCGTGGCGTATTGGTTAGCGCTTCTGCCTTGTAGCACTGAAAGTCTGCGGTTCGTATTCTGGGCAGGTCACTATCTGCAAGGAGTTTGCATGTTCTCCCTGTGCTTGTGTGGGTTTCCTCCAACACTCCAAAGACATGCTAGAAGGTTAATTGGCTCCTATCTAAACTGGCCCTTGTACGTATGCATGTGAGATACAGACCTTAGATTGTAAGCTCCTTGGGGCAGTGAGTGATGTAAATGTGTGCTGCGTAAATTGTCAGCACTATAGAAATACCTGAAAAAAAATATTTGACTAAACTATGGGGAACCTTCTTGTGCAAATTTCCTTCTGAAGTGAACAGCCTATTTGCCTTTAGTAAACCAACTCTATGGTTTCTACTTACTCCCTCTTTCCTGCAGCCTGGAAATGTAGTGTGATCTATTATTAACCTTCCTGATGAAATGGAACCTGGTCATGCACACACTCTGACTATAGTGCAGGCATGATGATATCAATGAGAGGGGCAGGAAAAAAGACCCGTTGGAGAATATCATGCATAGCAGCTTCAGCAGACTGGTCCTCACAACCAGAGCAAGTGGAGTGCAAGATTGTGGATTGAAGTGAGTAACATTGAATGTTAGAACATTTACATTTTAAAAAATCAGCTAGAGATTGGTGAGGACTGAAGGGGGGACTGAAGTCAGTATTAATTTTCTTAACATGGCTGGACTTCCGCTTTAAGTTATAATCATCTTGTACAGCCGCTATCTTTATTATATACTGTCATTTTTTTTAGAAACACAAAATTGAAGTTAGTCTTGAAGTTTATTTCTCTCATCTTAAAAGATAAATCATTCAGATGTGACCCTTATATGAAAGACAGATGAAAAAACAGCAATGGCATTAAAATTACTATTACTGGGGTACGTAAAGAGTTGTTATAATAATATAAAACAAATAACACAGAAAAAAGAATGCTCCTTACCTGCAGTTCCAGAGAGCTCCACACTTAAGGTTCGTTCAATAGTCTTGCTCTCAAATGGGGAACCCTTGGGGTCACTGGAAGACAGCGCATATTTATAAAAACAAGCTGAAATGGAGCTATTGTAGCCAAGACGAGAAGACACCCATCCCTTCCCAACAGAGCTTGTCAATGCTCAATACTTACTTTGGTGACTCGGGTGTCAGAGGAAGGGACAGATTCGTTGACTTGGCTGGAAAATAAAATAAAAACTTCATAAATACAACTCAACTATCGGTACATTCCTTCTAAGTTCTGTTACCTATTTATTTATATCCTTTTTTAATTCATACAACTCTGTAAAGAAAGAGTAGAGGTGTTGCAGCAGTGGTAATAAACCTGTATTAGCCCTCATACAAACAGACACATTAAAAAGCTGCATTTATTAGAGGTCAGAAATGAGATCCTACATCATTCTCTCAGTACATGTAAGGTAAGTGGGCTTTCTTAAATGTATCCTAAATAGCAGCTGCACAGTTTATTTAATTTATCTCTCGGAGCTGACAAGATAAATGAACATTGTAAGTCTGTCGTGCTTTTTAATTAAATGAAACTGAATGGACAAATTATACCTTTTTTTGGCAAGAATAATAGTGAATCAGTAAAAAGTGGTCTAAGCAGCCACTTAGCAGTTCACTATTTCATGTAGCATAGTATGCAGTGGCTGCCCAAACAGGCGGGATCCAAGTGTGATATTGATTTTAATGAGATCAGAACATCCCTGCCCCCACAAATGGTCTAACAATGAAGTATGCTATATCCTGATTAGCGTAGTGATCTAACACAGAGAAGTCGTTCCTGTTTGGGAGCTTCACTATGCATATGCTCATTACCATTACAATGGCCATCACCTCTTATCTTTACATTTTACAGCATTTTTAGTTAATTACCGCAGTGGTTGCTCTGGCTCTGTCACAACACTAAACATCCACACAGATTTATTATGAAAAAAAGGGAGAAAGAATGGCTGTATTGCAGATAGTGGTTGCGTTTAATTTTACTTTTTATTTAATATTTATTTTTTTAAATTTGTATTTTATAACCTGCAGTTTAAAAAAAATACCAGATAGGAATCAAATTGCTTGTTACAATCCTCTGCTTCTCTTTAAAACTTATTTTCTTACCAAGTCAGCTAGACTCTCCAATGATTAAAATTACTAGCCTTCTGTTTTAAAACTAAACAAGACTAATGGTTGATCACTGCTGCTAGGGCTCTGACGGCCACTGAAGAGAAGATATTATACTATGGGCTCTGAAGCTTTTGCAGACTTAGAATAAACATGTTAGGATGAAGTATAATGAACACAAATAATGGTCCCACACAGACTGCATATGAAATCACGGCATACATAGAAAGCATCACATTGAGACTCATACCTCCCATAAAGACGGAACCCAGGCTAAACAGAATGCAGTCCATTACTGACATAAATAATGCCTATAGCATGTGCTATGCCTGATCTCAAGACAGGCACACGTCCTGCGATGGGCAGCAAAGGGTTAAGCTTTAAAAATACTTAGCTTTTGTTCCAGCACAAAGATTACAAGTGGCAGAGGCTGTTGAATAATAAACTCCCTTATATGGATTCTTTTCTTATCTCTGTGCTGCAATAAGGAATATATTATTTGATGCAAATCTCTTATGTCTTATATTCTGTGTTTTTTGTTGAGATTCCTGACATTTTCGCACATCTGCCTGAGGATAAAGATTTGCATGATGCTTTTATACACTGCCATCCTCAGGTATTTTTCTTTTAAACCTAAAAGTGCTACTTTTTTTTAAAGTTTATAATGTTTTCATAAGTCAGGTAACGTGTTTGCTCAATAAAGCAGAAATTGGCCTAAATTATGATCTGTCTACGCTAAAAATTGCAATTGAAGTAACTGTTAAAGCGGTACTTAGTCTTCCTTATGTATTTCTGCAGTTGGTGTCTGGTGTAACAATTACAACCAGGTTACAGGTACAGGTTACATAAGCACACACAAATCAAAATGGAAATAAAAAGTTCTGAAATCTAAAAAAATAAATAAAAAATAAAAAAACTGCAAAGTTCAATTAATTTATTCAGCTTCTCTAAATATATCTTGTAAATAGTTTCCCATTAAAGGAAACAGCTTATTGCCCTGTTTTGCATGTAGCAGTAAAGAGAGTTGATTTATATACGAGCGCGTGTACACAAGAGAAAAAAATTCTGAAGCCCTTCTGGAATTAGCATGTGGAAAATTACCCATTAGAAAGGCAAGCTAGCAATAAAAATAAGCGTAAAGTGCAATGGATATTCTTTTTTTTTTTTTACATAAGTAATAGTAATGTGGCAAAGTAAGCTATCAGACATTAAAAAGGGGAAACTGCAGACACTTCACAGCAAAGCATCTCTTGGGTTTGCCCTGCAATGCTGGCAAGGGAATGGGTTATGACAGGTGCAGTACATTGTATGCTGTATTATGAAGCAACAAGGATGCTAGATGTGGCCGACTGAAGCTTGTAGGCAAAGAAAGAGAAACGTATAATTAATGCTGTGAGGTGTGTGCACTTTTCCAGGACAATTCCAGTTCATCAAGTTATAAATATCTAAATCTACCATTTTCATCACATCTACTGGGCAGTGCTTTTTAGCAAGTGTACTATAGATTAGAACAAGCAGTGTCAGCTTATTTCAAAGAGATCAAATAATGTAGTCTGAAAATATTTCAAACTGTCCCGCTTGATAGCATTTTTCCCAGTTATCTAAGGGCTTGTGTAGAGGGGAACATGCAGCATGCTTTAAGGTGCATTCAGCTTTGACCACCTTCTAGGCTGCAATGACCACCTTCTAAGCCACATTATGCTGCATCATGCTGCTTTTGCATTCCCATTGAGTTTTATGGGGACAAATGCAGTTTTGAGAACAATCCTGAATTAATGGCATGCCGTTTTTATCCTTGCCCATTATCATTTAGTCAACCATGTGCCAAGCTGGACAAATCCCATTAACCACTGCAACTAGAATATTGCTTTACTAAGGAAAACAGTGGGGTTGATTTACTAAAGGAGTAGTGGATGGTAACGCTGTGATCACCTAATATCCAATTATGTGCAAGGAAAATTAAAAAAAAAACAGTGCTTTGTTCATGCATGATCAAATGATTGACATGAACGCAGCCTCACTTTGTTCACCTAGGTAAGTAGATGTTTTCTACTCATTTATTAAACCAGCCCCGATGAACAGAAACTTGAGATCCACTAAAAACATAGTTGAATCTGCCATGTAATCAGTCAAAGAACAAAGATTATCTTAAAATTCCATACAAGTGCAGCACATCTGTGAGTCCCAGCACTACCTTGAAAATGTGGCAGAGGATGCAAGCAGGGCTTCTTTTTGGTGCATTTGTCAAGTCTGTTATTCGTCCTGCTCTCTGTTGATTTGGTCTGAGGAGAGTCATCATTTGCAGTCAGGTACTTAAGGAGCTCCGAGCAGGGGCGCCTCTGTGGCTTCTGCGGTTGACAAATGTTTCTGGGTTTATTGCTCCAACAGTTCTCGCTCTTCAATGTGAGGGAAAGATAGAGAGTGAGAAAAAGAGAGAGAGAGAGAGAACGAGAGACAGAGAGAGAGGACAAGAGAGAAAGTAAGAGTGACAGAGAAAGAGAGGGGCAAAAGAGATGAAGAAAAAAGAAAGAGATAGAGAAACAAATGGAGAGAGACAATGGTGTAGACAAGACAATAAAGAAAGGAGAAGTGAAAGAAAGAAAAGAAGGTGGTGAAGAGAAAGAAAAAGAAAATATGAAATCAGTGAACAAAATCCTTGGTGAAAAAATACAGTTTGTCTCTAGTCTTTTATTAATTCTGTGAAGTGCTCACAATAACTGCACTGGGTCTATGATCTGTGAATAATTGTTTGCAGAACAAGGCAAGACAATTGCATTTAAAATTCCCAAATGCCACTTATACAAAATTTTATTTCATTCCTACACTGTCTCAATGTTATACTCGGAAACAGAGGAGCATCTTGTTTTTACAGTCTCTTTTTAATAGAGTACAGGATTAAAACCACTTAATGTTTATTTGTTACCTGATGCTACAGAGCAGATTTTCACAGTTCTCCTAAGTGCCTTTAAAATGCTTATTTTTCAGCTATGGTGGACAGTAAGGGAACATTATTTAAACAGCATTGAATTTGCTCTGGATGTGCACTCTGTGGTAATGGTAAACAAAAAGAACTACCTATATATATCACACCAATATGTTTCATTCTAACCTAAATCCCTGCTGGCAATTTCTGCTGAAGAAAACAAAAAAGTGCCTGTGTTCTCCAAGGTAACCAATCAATGTCAGCTGATAATAGGTCTACATATGGGTACCACACTGGATTAGCACTGTATCCATGCAACACTAGGGTCCCAGGGTACTCTCATTGTGCTCTCTCTGTCTTTGTGTGAGTTTCCTGTGGGAGATTTTGTTTCATCCCATCCCATAATGTAGAAATAAACTGGTATGCAAACTGTCCATAGAACATATGGTAGGCACATTGGATTGCAAACGTCTTAGGCACTGATGGCAATGACCTATGCACTCTTCAAAGTGCTGCAGTATTTAAAAAATTAATATATAAGCACCTTTGGGATTTTCATTTAACTTAAGTAAATGTTTTGCAATTCTTGTTATTCAGAAAGCTTGATTTCTGAATGCTGCCTACCAAAGAAGGCCACAAACGCTAACCATTAAAGGAGAACTATGAGGGAGTGATTTCTACTCATCCTCATAGTTAGAGCCGACCTGTGACAAAGAAGCTGTCACAGGTTGGCTCTATTGATCGGGAAGTCAGCGAACACATACCGCCGATCTGCTCACTTCCCGATCATTTCCCTGCAGAGAGTGGTGACTGTCAGACACCGCTCCTCGCAAGGATTCCGGGGGCGGGCACAGCTGGCTCTGCCTCTGGATAGGCAGAGCCTGCTGTCACTCATGCAGCTGGGTGGATCTCGACAGAATTGTTGGGATCCGTCCGGGTTGCAGCGCTCTCAGTATATCGCGGGCAATAGCTCCCTATATACTGAACATTGGGTCACGGGAGGAGGTTAGTATATGTCCTCCAGTGACCCTAAAGAGAACTATGGGGAAAACACTTGCCCTATAGTTCTCTTTTAATTAAATCAATGAACACACAACTGTGTGGTGATTCCCAAAAAACACAGATAACTTGTGAGATAACTTATCAGTTTTCTACATCTTCTCAACTACCGTATATTGAAGGGAAAGTTTTATGGCTCCACCTGAAATATGACTGCAACCTGACAGGCAAAGTTGCAATATATAAACGTCTTCCTATGATTCCCAAACGGGTTAATATTTACAGTACTGAACAGATTTATTGCATGGGTGCAACAATGGTTCTGGAATGTTACAGTAACACCCCAGCAAATGGTGTTTTAACACTTGAGACAACACAATTTACAACTTTCCATGCAGTTGTACACAGTGCCTAATACATCCAGTAGCTTCAGAAAAATCTGGAGAATCTGGACCCTTATAAAATGTGATGATTCCAGAAACGGGGTGCTTCCCAGCAACTGTCACCACTTCCATAAGTTGGATCAAACAAGGTGTTCCTAATGACGGTTTATAGCTAGAGTTCAGACACAGCATATCTTGGTCCATGGAGACCCTTACTTGATTCCTAGGGGACAGCATCCCCTTTCATGATAATTTTTCCAACATATTCCTATATGTATTACAATATTTTTTTCTACATTGTAAACCAAATAAGTACCCCCACAGACCATGAATACTGTTTGAGAAACTTGATACAAAGTTTCCAAGTCCAAATGTCCATTGGGCCAGTCATTTAATTTTTACTCAATGTCCACCCTTTTCCTAAAAGGAACCTGTTATATCAGAACTGAGTGTTCTCCGGCTGTTGTATTTGTCCTTTTCAAAACTAGTAGGCAGGTTTGATTGCAGCCTAACATATACCATTGAGAAGCCAGGGCCCTTATATTTCTGTTTTTTTTTAACCTGACACATTTCCTTTAAATCACAAATTACTGACTGCTCCAGGCAGCAAAGAAGGACAGTTCAACACTGTCAAGATTAGTAGGGGTGTCTATGCAAGATGGGAGGGGGGCCACGGGACACAGCAGGTCCTGGTAAAATTTATTAAGGGGCCTTGCAGCTTTTTCTTACACCCGTACAGGGGAATTTGTATAAAGTAAAATAGTGGACAGTACATCACTTGTAAAGTAACAGAGCTATGTATGTACATTACTCTACCTTTCATGAATTGTTATTCCATTATATTTCAGCAGGATCAAAGGGAAAAGGCTTGTACCTTAACAGGTGCAGAGCTTGTTCTGATCCTCTGATTAGGGCTTGCATGGTTGTGTGCACTGAGTCCGACACATTCATTATAAATCAGCTGAGTGTTCGCTGGAGCCAGTAAGAGCTTCTTAAGCTAAAAAAAGAAAAAACAAATAAGATGAAAAAGTAGATATTACATACCAGCCAAGATTGCAATGATGTGTCTTAAGATATGGCACTGTTAGTTAAAATTAGTCATGAGAGATCATAGGAGTATACTTTTATGTGCGGGAAGTAATGCAATCAACGCCACATAAACACGGTTACAATAGCTCGTTATAACACAGTGATCATTACATGGTTCGCTTTTACTGCAAGACAAAAAGCTCTGCTGTAATGGACAATCCTAGAAATGGAGCCTGACGATTTTTGGCTGTTTAACTGTTGTTACTGCTGACTCCTGAGCAGCTGCTGGTTAATGGAGCATGCTGGGACCTGTGGTGAATTAGCTGGGCTAAACAACGGAAAATAGAGGTCAAATTATGTGACCACCAAAGACCTTTTCCCATACGACAATCAAGGTCCATGAGGCAGTGCATTTGTGCCTCTGCCCTATGGACGGTGGGCTATTATCTAGCCCTGCCAGTATCTCACTGACTAGACCACAAGCAGTACATTTTTATGTATGACTTTATACTAGAATGACATAGAAAATATTCTTGTTTCCTCCACAATAGTACACAGCCTATACTTAGGCACCATTCACACATGGTGTTTGCGGCACGAAAATGTGCAAACGGCAACATATGTGTGGATACCATGTGTATGCGGCTATAACAATTGCCCGTGCGGACGCCACATTAGTATGAACAATGCACATTGGAATGCATTGTTTTTCATGCTTAGCGTGTTTTTCGTGCGTATTTGTACGGGCGCAGAAAACCGCTCATGTGTGAATGAAGCCTTAAAATTACACTAAACTCAGGAGTTAAATCTTAAAAATGCATTCAAGTACTTTAACTATTAACAAAAAATGGTCCTGGAATGTTACAGTAACACCCCAGCAAATGGTGCTGCCACTGCCCTTCCTTCTGGGGGGTGGCTACTTTTGTTACCTATGGTCCCTGTGTGAGCTGCTCCCATGATAGACTATAACTTCAGTACAAATTAGTAAACTAAACGTGAGTTTGTAGTCCATCACAGGACTGAGCTTGGAGTGGTGGAAACTTTACAGCACACACAGGGACCATGGGAAACAAAAGTAGCCACTCTCCAGAAGGAAGGACAGTGTCCATACTAACTCAGAGATGATTGGAGAATCTGCAGCCAAATAATACACAAATAAGATACATTTTTGTTAATAGTTAAGGTAGTTAAAGGCATTTTTAAGATTTTGAAAGTGTTGTACCTTCTCACATCATAGCTCAGATCTTATAATCATTCCCACAATTAGCCCTACACTGGCCATAAACATTTTGTTTGTTTATCAGAAAATAATTTGTCCATGAAAAGGTCTTTCATATATCTACTACAAATGTACATTTTTTCATCAGTTTTGTGCATGCTATGATAATGGCTGTGACATTAATATAGGCTTTAAGTGTTGTTTTATTACACTTAAAGATGGCACAAATTATATGTTGGGACTGCCAGACCCAACTTGAACTGAGCTTGACTGGACTAAATAGACATAAAAGTATTTGACCACATTTTTGTAACCTGTATAGTCTGTCACCTAAGTTAACCCTTTATCTCATATAGACCACACATAAAAAAGGCTGTATGATGAAAGCATACACAGGGAGACAAAGTCATCATATAAATGGGTTACCCATCCTGGTTACTTAATAGTTATACCTGAGCTGGGCAAAACAGCTGCTTGTGCTAAAAACAGGGTCCATTTTAAGAAGAATGTGGCAGATAAGATATAGGTAGATTTGGCTTGATTCTCCTTTATTAATAAAGGGGATGTCCTACATCTGTCAACGTATGAGCCATTTCCACATATCAAATTTTACTAAAGGGAAATAGGCTGTTCACTTTGCGGGGAAAGTTTCTGCTAGCTTGGTGAATGTGGTGAAAATCCAATCACGTGCAGAGAAAAAAAAAAAAAACCTGTATTTTTTCTTGCACATGATTGAGTGATGGAAGTCATCATGGAAGGAAGTGTGCAACAAAACAACTACCGACCAAATCAACCAAAGCAATATTTAGTACATTGTATTTTAAAGCTAGTAAATTTGGAAGCAAAAACACATTCAGCCATTGCCAATAACAATATTAAAGTGGAAATCTAATCAGAGATTTCTTAGAACTAAATAGTGTAAGGCAGGATTTGATTCTCCACTGTATCTTTAATATTCTCCTTAAACCTTGTGTAGGAAAACTTACCCTAGCATGACAGTGACAGTCAGGGCTCTGTGAGCTGAATTTTCCAACTCCTCTCCCTGGAATGCATTCCACATGAAGAAAATCATAAAGCTGCAAATGGCCTCATAAGTATGTTGTCACTAGGGCCCCTAGTGGAATCTTTTTGAGAATATATAGAGAATGCACTCCAGAGACAGGAACCATGGACTTTAGGTCAAAACACACTAAGAATGAAGGTGAGGGAAGGTGCACCCTGTCTAAGTCATGGACAGCGGTAAAGGCCAAGGTCTACATTTGAGGGTAGAATTGCACTTTAAAAGTGTGTTTAAATTATTTTAGCAGACAACCTTTTCTTGGCTGAATTGGTAGAGCCGTAGCGTTTACCAGACAGATAATGAACACCTTGTTGAGAGGTTAGCACAAGAAACCTTATATGTGCCTGAGAGCCACAAGAAGCTCCCAAGACACTGGTTGAAGATCATTACATTGGAATGCCACTTTTAGATTAACGAAGGGTGGGAAATGCTTTTTGCACATAATAGAGATGAATAAAAATGACCATGTACACCGATTAATGATCTTATCTAATTCCTTTCGAACTGATCTGGCTTGTCATTCTTTCTCCTGACAGGGCTCCAAGACAACATCTCTAGTTACAAAAAAAGCTGCAGTAAGTCTACATACATATATGCGTAAAGCCAGCTTACACTGGTCAATAAAGCACTCTTGCTTTAAAAGTATTGAAACAGATAGTATTGATTATGGGCCCAAGATCCCGTTACCGATCAATGTCGGATGTTAAAAATAAGTGTCCCTAAATAAACGTGCCCACGCACTTTCCAGATCAACAGTGGCTCCTCTGATTTCAGCATATAATTTGCAATTTTCTGTAAAGTTGTTTTGTTTCTACCTAATATTAAAGTCCAAACCTTATTTTGACTACATCATACCCATGCAGCGGGTAGCCAGAAGCACATCCAATTCCTGTTAAACAGTAGGAAGGGTTCTTACTAGTGACGGCTCTTCTGCCTCCTGTGTTGGAGGGGTGCCGTCAGGCAGGGATGAAAGTCTGGGATCATGTTCACTGGTCACATCTCCATCTGTCAGTGCATCGAAGGAAGGCAATCCATCCTCGTCCACAGGGAGACTGTCCAGTGTTTCTGTAAGAACTGCTAGCAGGTTCTCTTCATTCTCCTCCTCAATTTTCTGCAAGAACAATAATTGAATGTGTCAATAATATAATAAATTGCCATCATCATAAGTAGTTAACCTACACGTAGTACATATATCCAGTGTCACTGGTTGTAATTACATGTCACAGTCCTGGTATTAGTTGTTGTTAGTTGAGGAACAATGTAGTGGTTTAAAGCATTATCCTACTTGTATCGTAAAAATGGTACACTGCCATTACAGACCACGTAGATCCATTTGGCAAATGTTTTTTTTTTTTAAATGAGTCTTCTATTTTCCTGCACTTCATAGCACAGTGTAGATAAGCCATATTTTAATTAAAGTGACACTAAACTCAGGAGTTAAATCTTAAAAAAACATTCAGGTACCTTAACTATTACAAAAATTTAGCATATTTGTGTATCACTCAGCTGTAGTTCCTCAAATCATCTCTTAATTCATGCTGACACTGTCCTTCCTTCAGGAAGGCGGCTACTTTTGTTCCCCACGCTCCAAGCTCCCTCTCATGATGGACTAAATCCCATGTTTAGTTTACAAATTTGTATTGAGATTGTAGTCCATCACGGATGTGTTTCTTTACTTACCTTCCGCTGGATGCAAAGAACTACCGTTATTGGCCCCTGTAACAACATCATTCAGGGTCACCAAGGTCTTCAGTTTCAGAGGCCTGGACTAAGGACCCAAAAAGGAGCTCTGCATCACTTCCTTCAAGTGCAGGGTACCCTCTTGGATCATGCACTCTGTTAAAGTTGACAGGCAGGGGGAAAATTATCAGCAATGACAACGCTGATAACCCTCTTTCGCAGCATACGTAAGGATGCAGCTGTGCAGGATTATGATGGTGCAGTGAATTTAGCATTGTCAAAATACCAAAAGAAGTACCGTACCTTTGACTGGCAGGATCACCAGGTATTTATTAGAGAAAAGAACAAACTGGATGTGTGCTAAATGTTGACTTATTTTACTCTGATCATTAGACCAATTAATTTAAATTTTGTGTATGGCTGTACTTAAGTTACAGGTAAGCCTTATAAGGCTGAACAACTTCCTGGCTTAAATTATCTGAGAGACTCCATTAGTCAGAAATTCCACTAGGAGTTCCTGCCCTGGCCATATTCACCATAGAGTCTAAAACTTTCTCTGCAGAAGAGTCTCCTTCCTTTTGGAATGTTCAATTCAATTTAAAGTGTGAACAAGTAAATTTCCTTTATAAAAACTGAGAAAGACCATGTAAAAATATATTGTATTTTAAATGACTGAATGGCTGTATTAAATGCTGTTTTTTTTATACATTACGTTTTTGTGGTACTTAGTAGATAGAAGTTCAAAAGATCAGAAAAAAAGAGTGATGGATCATCATCATTATTATTATAGCATACTGAATCATTTCAGCATCTGCCTTGAGTTCAGCTTTAATAGTTTTAAAAGGTCAATCCAACCAAAACTTTTGGATAGATGTCAGTGGATTGCATCACCAACCAGCTTCAAGTACCACTCGAGGTTCTGGTGGAGAAATCCCATCACTGTGCTCTCAGTTCTATCCACCTGTGACCTTTACATAAGGGTCTAGATTTCCCTGTCAAATTTTCATAAATGTTTCCTTATATGAGGAGCCAGAAGGGGGTTCAAACTCCTGGATCGAAATGCCAGTACTAGGTGGACTAACCCTTTAAAAGTACCTTTCTGTAGCCTCATGGCCTAGAGATATAAACAATAAAGAAAACACCACAATCAAACAAGTTTTATTACTCTATGTGGATATGTGAGCTACAGATGTATTGTTTTTTTCTTGCACATTAGAAGAATAAGATTTTTCTAATGGTTGGTTAATACCACCAAGTTTTGATTCAATTGAGGAAAAAAATTCTACCCTTATATATGAGGTCGGTTATTTGTGTTCTATTACTATGAAAATATTTGATACCACATGCAGGTGGTATTTGCAACTGTGCAAATAAAATAAGTTAAAGCAATGTTAAAGTAAAAAAACTTAAGCTGTTTCTAATGCTGATTAAAATCACATACAATGGATGCTGCTCCTTGATGTTTAAACATCTTAACTTCCTGCAGAAAGAGCTGGTCCCATGACAACTGGCCCTGATATCCTGTTTTAGAGTGTATCCTTTCCCTTGTAGGGTCCTATAGAGCCACCCTTATATGTGCTAGTAAGCAGTGTCTCCACAAGCACGCAGGCTCAGCCTCTCCCCTTCTCCAAGCTAGCAGATAGACAGCTGCTGTAGAATGTACTGTCTCTTGTGATCTTGTACGCAACGGAAAGTTCAGGGAAGTGGAACTGCGAGAGTTCAAGCCAGCTGTTCGAAAACATGAAGACTGGAAGTGCTTTAATTAAATATTTATTGTATTAAGTATTTTTATTTGTTTGATCTGGATTCATTGCTGAAAACAGTTTGAGAGATACCAAATGGGTGAAGTATTCTATGGACTCCTGCAGCTGAGAAGACGTTTTGCATGGCCAGATTCTGTTCTTCTTTACTTCTCTTCTCTACAGATTCTACTTCTTCTCTGGAAGCATTTCTGAAGAATTCTTACATATCACGAATACACTGATAACTGGGGAGTGACTATGTCAAAAATGATTTTCCCACCAGCAAAATTTGTCTCAATTTTAATTATTGAGCTGCTCAGGCAACCTTTGCTAAAGAAAAAAGATTGACTCTTTTAACATTTTACCAGGTGCGACTCATAGGTCTAAAAAAATTTATACATAAGAAGCAATTGCATAATCATATTAATTAACACCTCTGGATTAAAATTGTTGTTGCTCAAACATGGCAATCATGTAGCAAAACCATAAAGAAATTCTCTAAATATCTTGGGACGTTCAAACAGAAAATAAGTTGAAAAAATGTATATGGACTGGTCAATTTTAGTGATACAGAAATACAAAGCAGAAGTTACATGGAGATCTGAACTTTCCCTATTAGAAATGTGCATGGCCCTGTCCTCTACCACCTCCTATCCTCCCATTTGGTTACTGAGGCTCTCCATTACACTGAAGGACCAATAAGGGGTTTGGAAAGCAGGAGGCAGTAGGGCCATGTTCAACTTTTGTATTTTTTTTTTAATAAAATGATCAGGTTTGTATCAAGTTTAATTTAAGTTATTCGACTACTTATCTCTAAAATAAGATCCTTACCCCCTGCAGATTATCTTATACCCTGCCACATTTCAAATGATATTACAAAATTTAATGAGTGCACATTTGCAAAGCTGTGCATATCTTTCATCAATAACCATGAAAGACTGGATAATTGGCTGTTCTCTGCAATAACTTCTCTCTTCTGAAAACACTGCACGCTTGGACAGCAGAAATCTCCCAGCATGCCTGAACACTCCTATGATGGAGGTTTCCGAATTTCCCAATTTTTTTACTGGCCAATATACTACCAGGTTTTGACATGCAGCGTTCATACTTGTCACAACAATAGCTAAGTTGGCACACTATGGAAAATGATAGAAGTTCTAAAGTTATGTTGCTGGAATTTCACAAACAATATCTTTAAAAAGAAAAAAAAAAGATTTTACGCAAGCACAAATAAATGGATACGACTTTTCAGAACAGAACAAATCAGTAAGCAATTTATTAAGCTGTGAGCGGGGCTTTGCAGTGCAGTCAAACACATGCCCTATATTACCATGGCATGGTGCCATCTCTCCAGCTGTGGCACAATCTTGCAATGAGTGCCTGTTTACTGAGCAAATGTGTGACACTAAAAGTCTGGGCTGTCAACGTACGGCCCACACTCTCTCTGCATTTGTCACAGGAGACACTGCTGTCCCTGTGTCTTTGGCATATACACCAGGCCCACCAGTAAACCATTTTGACTAACGCTCAACTGAAGGACTCTAACCTTTTAACAAAATGCATTAAGAACTATATATAACGAAAATTGTCACATAATATAACTGCAATACAGTTTCCAAAAAGAAAATGACAGTCAATTCTGTGCAGAAAATACTCTTGACGTCCCTATCTCTAATGGTATGTAAATGTGCACAGCTTTGTACCTTAGGTACTTTACGTGGCTACTTCTCCAGATCTGAACCATTGAAAAAACTTGGCAACTATTATTTTACTCATTAATATAGTGTCAACATATTTTACGACACTTATCAGCACTCTATTGCGGTAAAAGAGAATCTGTAATTTTCCTGTCTTAGGGTACAATGACATGTTCTCTTGTAAGAACAAGCCCCCACCATTCCTTTAAAGCGCTTGGTAAATATACAGGGGTCTATTCACTAAGCTGCCGTAGGCAGCCGAGTGAAAGACCGACCTGAAGTGAAGTGAGCCGAACACTGTTCGGCTATTCACTTCAGGCTGTTACGGCTGATTTCAGCCTTATATCGGCTGAAATCAGCCGTACATCGGGTGGCTTCATGTGGCTTCGGGTCGGCCGCACATGCTAAGCATGTTCGGCCGACCCGAAGTGCAGAAGGATTTCGACTCAGCCGATCCAACATCTGGATCGGCTAAGCCGAACCTCCGGCAGGCTACTCGCTGCTGTTCGGTCTATTCTTATAGATGCCGAACAGCAGTGAGTGAATAGCCGAATGCCGCTGAGTGGCATTCGGCTCGGCTGTTCT